AGAGCATGTGCGCCCGCGCGCCCCGCCCGCCGAGGACAAGCCCGGCCCCGTGCACATCTTCACCGAGCAGCCGCTGCTGAAGTGGACCTGGGACGAGACCTACGACGAGGCGTACGAGAAGCCCGAGGGCGCCAAGTGACGCGGCGGCGGCCCGCCGCGCGGCCGCGTCCCCTCCGAGGGGCCCTCGGGGGATCCGAGCGTGCCGATGCCGATGCTGGTGCCCCTCGCTCGTGTTCGCCCTCTCCGGCGGAGCCCTCGTCGCCACGGGCGGGTTCGCCCTGCTGGAGCCCTGGGGAGCACACCAAGTTCGTGGCCTGTCGACGCGCTGCGATCCCAGCGCTGGCGTTCAACCGGCCCAGAACCCGGCGACATCGCACGATCTGCGCGATCGCGAAGGCCCGATCGCTTCACGTTGAGCGATCCACTCCGTGCCAGAAGCCGACGCCCACGTCGCCACGACACGAGCTTGCCGCAGCGGCATCGGCTCGTTGTTCTGCCCCTCGGGGCCGAGCTTCTGCCTGGCCTCGACGGGGGGGGGCCTTCGTCCTGCTCGAGCCTCTCTTCGCACTCCCCCCGCCGGGGGCCCAGCCTCCCCCCTCAGGTCCTCCTCGAGGGCCCCGTCCCCCCCTCCCTGGCCCTCGTCTCCCCTGGTTCCCCCGGGGTCGTTTCCTACCCTTCGCCTCCCCCCCATCTCCCCGCCCCCCCCCCCCTCGTCCATCACCTCTTCTGTCTCGAATCTCTCTGCCCAGCTCAACAGCCGCAGAGGCTCTGGAACCGACGCAGCCGCAGAACTTGGCACGGGGGCTCGCGCAGTTCGGCGCTGAGCCCATGGTAGCGCCACTTCCCAGGAGTGTCCAGGGGCCTCCCCGCTCTGTTAGAGACAGCATGCATCTTTGCCCTGATATGACCATTATCCCTCATCCTCCTCGTCCTGGCCCTCCTCGTCCACCTCCGCTTCCGCGTCGTCGTCAAAGTCCACTTCCTCCTCTTCCTTCTCCTCCCCCTCCTCCTCCTTCTCCTCCTCCTCCTCCTCTTGTCCTTGGCGTGATCTTTGGATGCTGGACCCGCTCGCCTCGCCAGCCCGGATGGTAAAGGCGAGCATGTTGAGGACCGTGGGATGAGAAGATGGGGATGTGATGTGCGAGCAGGAGGAGGGGTTCTTGGGAAGGAGCGAATGGGCGAGTATGGCAGGCGAGAATTAGGGCGTGCGCAGAGGGCGCAGGAGCGGGATGCGACTTGGACGATCCGTCTCTTACCAGCCACGCCCCCCCTCCTACACACACCACCTGCATTGTAGATATGGCGGTCTCTTTGTTGGGCCGCGCTGACACGGAGGCAATCACTGCCTTGATCAAACTGGCCTCGCTGCAGTGCGCGTTCAAGACCCTTGACGAGGAGATCAAGATGACTAGCCGCCGTGTGAACGCTCTGCAGTTCTCCGCATCCGCTGCCTTCCGTGTGTTTGATTGGGTGGCGAGGGAGGTGGATGTTCATGGCAATGGCGATGGGTTATGAGGAGGACGTGGGTCAACTCAGTGTGGCCATACGATCGTCCGTTTGCGAGTTCTCAGCGTATGGAGCAATGACTGGTTATTGCATTTCCTGTAGGTACTACCTTCTGCCGATGATCGATCCCTGGGTCTGTTCACTGCTCACTATTCTGGCGGTGGTCTGTCCTCTCACCTAGCCCTCTGGGCACACGGGAGGGGAGACAGGAAGAGGATGGATGAATTACCATCAGAAATGTTTGCCAGCGTGGACCCCAAGCAGTGATCTCTTGCAATCTATGTGGGGCAACCTAGGTGGTAAAATACATGTGAGACAATCCAGGTTGTGCAGTGAGTGTGGTGCAAACTCTGTGGCGCAAAACAATGCTAAACAGTACAACGCAACGCAATGCAATACGATGCAATGCAAAGCAGTGTAAAGCAGTCCCGAGCCATGCAAAGCAGCGAAAAAAAGCAAGACAGCGCAGTGCAATGGACAAGGCGCTGGAACGCGGGGCGCAGCAGCGCAGCAGCGACAAAAAGCAGCGGCGCAGGGCAGCAGCGCAGAGCCCAGAGCAAGGCAAAGCAGCGCAGGAAGCAGTGCAGAAACCGGTCGAGAGCAGTGCAAAAACTGGCGAGAATGCAGTGCGCAGCGCCGTTGCCAAGCGAGGCAGAGAGCTCTGCAGAGCAGCTGGCGGCGCAGCTGGCGGCGCGGACGGGCGGCGACGGGCCGCCCCGGCACCGGAGCCCTCGGGTGGCGGCGCCGGACGGGCAGCGCCACAGGCCGGCCAGGCGGGCACCGGGGCCCAGGTGGTGTCGGGGGCAGCGGTAGGCAAGCAGTGGCGAGGCGTCCTGGCCCGCCTTGGGAGCCCTACCAAGCAATGTCCTGAGAACCGTTTTGGGGTGCCCACGAGATGTTCTCAGAACGTCTCTGTCTGAGATCGTCTTTTTTTTAACACCTCGGGGTTATGTTCTAAGAACACTGTTGTTGTTTGTTGTTCGTAAAACATTCTTGGGCTCTTGAGCATTTCGTGGTAGGACCATATAGGAATGCCGGGGCGGTGGGTCCCTGCTCAAGAGAGGGGTTGATAGGCATAAGGGGGGGATGCATCGATCCCCGATCGCCCACTGGTTGCCGATAGGGGCCCGAGAACCTCACCCCGCCCAGGCAGGTGCGGATTCACGGTCGGGAGCCTATCGCCGATCTATCGGCGATCCATTGCCGATGCCAGGTCGATGCAGCCCCCCCTGCTGTCTATCCCCCCTTTATCATGACCCCTCCTGGTGGCCGCGGACAGCTGGCGACGGGCAGCCACAGGCCGGCCAGACCCGCACCAGCGCTCCGCGGCTCAGTGAAGCGAAGTGAGCATGCTTCATCTGAACAGGAAGGAGGATTGCGAGGTATATGTTTTGCAATGTTTCCGTTGCTGCAAGCATTGTTATAGGAAGCTAGACCTAAAACAATAATGATCTAGGGAAGTCAAGGGGTGCGGAGGAGGGAGGAGGCAGGAGGGCAGGGAACAGAGAGAGAGGTAGCGATTTGTTGCTGGCTGCTTGTGGTAGGATGTCCAGGGCAGGTTGGGGTTACTGCATTGCCAGCTGCCTGAGCTGCACGGCATGTCGAGCCATGTCCGAAACTTCGGGATCGAAGAACGCTATAACATAAACTTTGTCCGCCGTCGGGGACGCCTGCCCCCGGGCGGCTGGAAAGGTTATCCCCCCCCCGACAGGATCGTTTGATTTTATGAGCAGACCTCCCGACCCGTCCACCCTGCATGCCGCGGCCGCCAGATCCCCAGGTCCCCCGAGTGTCCCCGAGAGCCCCGCCTCGCGCCACTCTGCTCACCGCGGCCGCCAGATCCCCAGGTCCCCCGAGTGTCCCCGAGAGCCCCGCCTCGCGCCACTCTGCATACCGCGGCCACCAGATCCCCAGGTCCCCCGAGTGTCCCCGAGAGTCCCGCCTCGCGCCGACACACCAAAACATGACAGAGCGGTATCATAAGATAACATAACATAGCATGGCCCATCTTAATATGCTATGACAGAACCGGGCATAACACCACACCACCTGACATAGCATACCCGAGCATAACCGTTTCTTTGCCACTGCACACCATGACGTAACATAACACACCATGACAGGGCAGTGCATACCATATCACAGCATATCCGCACATAATTCCATAGCACGACGAAGCAAACACACCGCAAGAACACATAGCGGAACGGAACCCACCAACCCAGAACACGCCATAACCTCACATAACATGACATAACATATCATTGCACAACACAGCACATCACCGGACACTACAACAGCTCGGAGCATTCCTAGCATGTCACAGAATATCATACCATACTATGGCATGACGTGTCATGTCAAAACAGAACATTACATGCCATGATACGCAACCGTATAACACAGCATCACAGGACCTATACCTTGACAGATACCGTCCAGCACATATGATACGTAATAACATGACGCAGCGCGGTATACTACGTTACAGCATAGCAGAACGTAGCATCTCATCACACCGTAACTTGTGATACATTGGATCATACAGAGCAGAGCATCTCAACACATCCCATAGCACAGCATCGCATAACATACCATACCACAACCATGACAAACTTTATCATCCCCTAACACATAAGTGCAGAGCATATCACACCGTGGCTCAGCATCACAACACATAGCGTTCCATCACATTGGAACGCAAACCATGACAGGGTGCGGCATAACACATTATACAATGGCGTACAATGGTATCAGATAGCACCATAACATAACAACGCATCACATGTCATAGCATGCCCGAACAGGATATACTAGATCACATCATAACAGCGAGTGCGGTGACATCGTGGAGCACACAGAGCATACATAACACAACGCCCCATACCATAACACAAAAGGAGAGGGCACACCAGACCATAGCGTAAAAGAATAGTTCATAGTCTTCCGTACAGTTGCACAACACACCATAGCATAACACATAATCGCAGCTTATCGTAGCATGACGCATCACATCATGACGGACCTTGACCAAGCATAGTTGAACAGATCAGGGCATAAGAGATATTGACCATGTCATGACAGAACTGAGCATGACAGAACGCAACACCGATAACAACATTTCTTCACAACGCAAACCAGGACACAACCCAGCAGAGTGGGGGTATATCGAATCATTACAGATCAGAACGGAGCGTGTCCAAACGGTTTTACCATCGCTCTTCGACGGAAACGAATGTATCCAAACACGCAGGCTTTACCATGCTGCGTATGGCAACAGAACGCAGCGCAATGCAATGAACAGAGAGCAGGGCCACTGATATTGCTACGACTGCTACTGCTACTACTACTACTACTACTACTACTACTACTACCAGTACCACTACTACTACTACTACTACTACTACTACTACTACTACTACTAGTACTACAACTACTACTGCCACTGCTACTACAGCTACTGCTACTGCTACTCTTACGTTTTCTTGTTGTAC